CCGACATACGAAAAACGCATATCATAATTTTCAAATGAGGAATATGAAATATTTCAGATTAATAAAAAATCTTAAATATTATATCTCTTCAAAATTATGAACAAATGTTCAACTTTATTGAACATTAAAACTTCTTTACTATCATTTTAGCATAAAAAGAGTATATTTATTTCAATAGTGGAATTGAAATTATATAAGTAATATTTAGATATAAAAGCTATATTTAGATTTGAATATATAGGTTTAAATGGATTTATTGAAATTGCCATGATGGATTGGAACTCTGGAAATGAAAACAGGAAATATATATATATGAAATCTTTTCAATATATTCCACTCTCCTATACTGCAGGGTCAACGATTCAAGATGTTATAGGATAGGCTTCGTTCAATAATAACTCTAACTAAAGCATATAATGCTTAGGTTTCTAAGAATCTGCAGGATGTGAAGGAAGAAATAAAAATATATTTTGGTTAAAGCTACAGTAAAATTCTTTAAAATAACTAATAGTTTTATTTACAATTATTTATTCTTGAATTAAATAGAATACTTATTGAATTTATTCTTATGGCAGTTTAATCTAAATCAGTTTTATTTATTGTATATTCGATATATATATATATCATTTCTATTGTTTATTTTTTCCTAGTTGTTTCAAGATCAAGTTGGTCCAACTAAGGCAAATTATTGGAAATATTACTGATATCACAAGATGCTTCAGTAAACAAAGCTTTCTATTTGATATTCCAATAGTATTTGAGATATTAGAAGCAAGAATAAAGATAAAAGGTAGAAAAGAAATTAGAAGTCACAAAAGATAGATTAGATCTAGAAATTTTTTTAAATTTTGGTACTAATTGATTAATATGTAATTTAATAACTGAAATTTAAAATTGGAAATCAATTATTTAAATTTGGTAACCACATTTAGCTTAATTTCTTAAATATGTAATGACTTAGATACGAAGTTATTAAAATAAAATTGTTAATATATGTAAAATCGTAAGAATAAAAACTTTAAATAACGGAGATGCAGTGATTTAGTTAGTTGTCACATCCTTAGCAACAAGATCTAGAGTTAAAATCCCAGAGATGAAAAGTTCAAATGTCTACTTGAAGATGCAATATTTATTCAGAAAATAATTTTAGGCAATAATTTAAAAAAGCAATCGATTGTATACAAGATTTCTTTGAAAAAAATACGGTTTATCAAACAAGCGGCCAAAAATAAATTTCTATTATAAACTAAATAAAGCTAATTGGTACCTTTTTGTATAATTAAGGTTTCTAATGTTTCAAAAATGAAGCTTTCACCAATTAAAATCTTCTTTTCATAGGATTCATTATGCCCATTTAATAATAAATTAGAATTCTCAAAATTTATCCAAGAACTACTATAATTAAATATTGCTTTGCGATGGAACTTTCACACGGCTAAGTACATGAGTATCAATTTTTTTCCATGTTCAAAGCAAATGATAACACTATAAAATTTATATTATATACAATTAAAAATAAATATGGAATAGCAACTTACTATCATCAGTCGATTTCCACTGACCATAAGAACAATAGTCATCACTATGAGAAAAAATATTACCATAACTGCTGAAACTATCACCACTATAACAATTAAAACTATTACCATAATTGCTGAATCACCAGCGCGAAAATTGCCATTTGAATTGTTAGTATGTTTCCAACCTAAGTGATTATTTACACCAAATATTTTTTTTGAGTCCAAGACTTTAATTAACCAAAGAATTGCGCAATTACAATTATTAGCAATAAATTTATTATAATCAAAACCATCGCATGTTGCTCGGTAAGTAAGTGTAAATGATAAAAAAAGTTTCCTCACAAAAATACTTTACAAAATCTGATAATTTCGAGATATGCAATTATTTGCAAATAATAAGCAACATATTGTGCATTATTAGTACTAAGTTAGCAATTTTAATAATTTATTGCAAGATTATTTCATTATCAGCGCCTTTAAATATCTAATAAATTAGTTAAATAATGGTAATTTTTAGGCCTTTATTATTACTAAAATATTGGTAATATATTGCTAATATTAGCATAATAATTGACAAATATATTTATAAAATTAAAATATAGTAATAAAATGCTAATAAAGTGCTTATATTTGCAAAATTTAGTACATTATCAGCGCCGTTAAATTGCTTATTTTTAGCAAGTTCAATATTGACAGATTTTTGTAAAGTAGTTCTTTTTTCAATCCAATTATATATGATTGCAGTTTTATCGCTTCAATTATAACAGAATCAATACTAATAGATTGTAACGTGGTAGCAGTCTTGAAACTTCAAGATTTATATTAGCTATCAGATAAGCTACTAATTTTCATAAAGATTTTCTGTATTGCTTTTTTATGAGGCCTAGCATGGTAATAAAAATCACTTCTGGATATTTCATGAAATTGAATATGTGGTATAAATGGGTCTCGAGATTTCTTAAATGATGCAAAACCATCCACCTTTCAATTAGAAACATCTATCTTTACGGATTCTTCATTAGAAGCAACAAATTGAGCTGTTTCCATTTAGTCAAATTCCAAAAATCATTTTTTTCAATATCAAGATAATCTCTCGTGATAAGTTCCAAAACATTATCTTTAGTCAAAGTCGGAAATTCTTTTAACTCAAAGAATAGTTTTTGATCTTGGCAGATAATTTTCATGAAATATTCTTGGATGTCTTTGCAATTTTGAATATCGAAAACTTTGTGTGATGATAACATTTTCTCGCAATCAGGATGATTCTTTATCAACGAGCTAAATTATTTTATATTTTAATTTATTACTTATATGTGAAGTAAGAAATTTAATATCTTTGATGCCAAATAAATAGTAACCATACTTTCGATATAATTAGTTCAATCTGTCAAGAATTAATCCGTTGCATGCATGCGCTATAAGATCAAGGATAGTAAAACATGATTGATCTGATAGGTTAAGAATTCCTGCATAGTATACCTTTAAAAATTAATAAATAAGAAGCAATAATATAAGGATTCGAAAAAAGTTTAATTAATATTAATTTTGACGTACCGAAGTATCAATAAAATATATCTGGGAAGATATTGTTTTTTTTTAAAAGTGTTGATGCTTAGATTGTTTACCATTCTTTAGATAAAGCAGTTTTGAAATAGGATGACCTGGTGCGTAAAATATTTAAATGTACGTTAAATTCTTTGAAATTTGATCGTTATCCAACTTGAATAATGACATCGTAATATATTGGCTGATTTTGATAAGGAAATCCAATCCCCCCCAGTAACGCACCTCATTAGACATATGAAATTATATATAATCGACGCACCATAACCTTGCTAACCTGGGGAGATTGGATTTCCTTATCCAAAACAGCCGATATGATCATCTGATTCGTCTAAAAGTTGAGAAAAATCTTTTGAAAAAGTTTTATAACAAGTCAATTTTGCCACATTTTTCTATATTTCATATTAATCACACTACATCATATACATGACTTGACCTATCCTTGCAACAATAAGAATACGACCAAATGAAACTTGATTAATTAAATTTAAGATTTTTATTGTTAAAACAATGTACTGTAATTCAAGGTGTATTTTATTTTAATTTTTCTTAGATCATAAATAGTATGTTCATAAATAGCATTAGTTTCCATAAATAAAAAATTTTAAAAAGAATCAATGATTCAAATCTTTCGGGAACACGAGCTTTCTTTTTAATTGACATGCTGTATTATTTTACAGCAGCATGTATGTAAAAATGTAAAAGATTTTTATGCTTAAAAAAAATTTTTTTATACAATCACACCTGGATTATATCATTTTTTTTCTCTATGTTTTTAATATTATAGAAAACTAAATTCTAGTCAGTAAAATGACTGTCTGCAATGTAAATGGCAAACATTTTAAAAGTCAAAATTCAAATTCATAAAATATGAACATTCTATTACAATTGAAAAACATACATCTAAACTTGAATAAAAAAACGCATAGCTATATTACAATTCTCAATTAACCGGCAACTAACTGTGTGCAAAATCTTGCAAATTACTGGACAGTATGATTTTGCACATACAATATCATGTGAAATTATTCTGTAAATTTACAAATTTTTAACTTGTATTTAGCTGCATTGCTGCTAAACGAACGTAAAATTTGTTGATCTGAGAATCAGAATACGTATTAAATACAATTATCAGAAAAACACGTTTGCATTGCAAGATTCTAACTTTTTCGGAACATAATTTAGATAAAGCTTGTGATGTAAATTACTTTTGGGCTTGAGCTGGCTTAAGCTCGTCTTAAGGGCCAAGCCGAGCCTGCTCAAGCTAGCTAAACAAGCCAGTTTAAGCCGGCTCAAGCAAGCCGGCTTATACAAATCACGTAATATATTAATAGTTTATTTTAGTGGATAACAGCCCTAGCGTCACCCAGAAAAAATGGTAGCCGGGTTATTTTGCCGGCTTACATGTGATTTCGGATGCTGATTGCCGGATAAATTATGAATTTTTTTATTCAATAAAATAACTTGCATTTTTTTAGCTATAGCGAATAAATAAATAAACATAATAATTAAAATAAGGCGATTTAAACCGTTTATCTTAAATTCATAGAATCTTTACGCACTATAAAGTAGCTTACTTTTGGTACACCAATTACAAGTTAATTAACATAGATAACAAAATCTATGAATTCACGAATTTTAATGCATTGGTTAAAAGATCTTAATACATAATTAAGTTAATGCGAATTAAAAAGTATGAGTAGCATTATGTAACTATAATTTATTTTAAATACTAAAGGTTGTATTTACTCGCTAAATTAGCAAGAATAAATAAGAAGCAGAACCGAACTTAAAGAGCTTATTTAAGTGATTGATCAAGATTTTAATACTCAACTGAATTAACGCTAATAAACAAAATCATATACGTATATTGTCCAGAATCAATTCTGAGAACTGACTAGCCGTTTCCTTAATACAATATTTAGTTTAAATATATTATCTAGTTCTGAATTTCTGAATTTTTATTTCACTAATTCCTGACCAAAATGCTCGTGTTTTAAGTTCGTTGAGAATAATTTTTCGACATTGTACAAACGGCTTAGTCTTAATCTTTCTACTTAACAACAGGAACTAAATAAAATGAAATGAGCATCACTATGTAATGATAGTTATTTATAAAGAACAATAAATTAATGCGAACAAGTATATACTCGCTCAATTAGCTAGATTAATGCAAACCAAATAAGTAAATGCTCACCAACTTGAATCACTTATTTTAATTAATCAAAAAGTTCTTTTACACTCACCATCAAAATTAACACGAATAATAAGAGGTACTGAATAACTATATAAAATTTT